TGTAAATATTGAGTTTATTGACGCACGATTAGTCAATATATTAGCAAATATATGCGTACCGTAATCTCCCGTACCGGCTTGAATATAGACACCCCCATACTCTCTGTAAATATTGAGTTTATTGACGCACGATTAGTCAATATATTAGCAAATATATGCGTACCGTAATCTCCCGTACCGGCTTGAATATAGACACCCCCATACTCTCTGTAAATATTGAGTTTATTGACGCACGATTAGTCAATATATTAGCAAATATATGCGTACCGTAATCTCCCGTACCGGCTTGAATATAGACACCCCAGGCAGATTGCGGACATGTTCGCGTGTTTTTGCGAATGCGTGCGTGCGTGCGCAGGTGCGCGCGCGTGCATATATACTCTTACGTTTGCGCGCGTGCTGGTGCGCGTGTGTGCGTGCGCAGGTGCGCGCGCGTGCATATATACTCTTACGTTTGCGCGCGTGCTGGTGCGCGTGTGTGTGCATGCGCTTGTATCTGTGTTCACGTGCGTTCGTCCGCGAGTGCCCCTGTGTGCGCGTGTGCGTGCGCGGTGAAGAGCACCAACGCATAGCGCCCCCTGATTCTGTCATATAGGCGTGGTCGAGAACTTTTATAGGCATACGTGCTACACAGTTATCTCAAATATTTTTCCATTACGTTTGGCTTTTTGGAGAAATTTCACTGAGTTTTACTTGCCATTTTGGACATTTTTGAGGCAAAATACACTTCCCCGGGTACAGAAAGTAAAATTTGTTCCACAAACTCGATGTGTCCTTTAAATAATTTATGCTCCCTAAGCGGCTATGAGGTATCAACCTTATAGTTTAAGTTATATCAAAAGGTGATTATTACGACAAAAACTAGAAAACTGCCCCTTTCACGGGGCAGCTAGTGCAGGGAGGGGAGTGCAGTGCAGAGATGACCAAAGAATTTGTGCCTTTGCGCCGCCTATCGGGCATAACCTGAGACAGATCCCTTCCCGTGATGCAGTTTGCCTCAAAGAAGGGAAGATGGCGGACAGTTTGGAAAGTAAGTATGAAGCAGGAAATATGGCAATTTCTTGTTCGTTATCCTCGTTGAGGGGGATTGATTAACGAATTTAAAAGCCATGAAGGCTGTTCTTAAAAACTCCGTGACCAGTTCCACAGGGAATGCGACGTGTACATTTTGGCGCCTGTTTTCAAATCGTTTGTGGTTTTGGTGGCTATTTTGAAACCAAGATTTGTCAAGTTTTCTTCATTAAAGTGTGATTTTGACATTCCGCGCAGATTATGGCACTCCATAAACTAAATAGGCGATGTGGCGACGTGCTAGGACATTTATTTTATTAAATTCGGCGAAGAAAGAGAGTGAATATAGCGGGCTGGCGAACACGGTCAATAATAACAAACAAAAGCCGCCCTCAAGTGATTCAATATGAATGATTGACCTTATCGTTGCCCGTGTTTATTTTTCGTTTATTTTTTGCTTTAGGTACTTGGCTTTTAGTTAGCCATTTCTCTTGTTTCATTTCCGTCTTTGGTGTTTGTGTATTTAGAATTTATGGTGTTTTATCTCATAGTCTTTGTGCCTCTGGATATTATGAGATGTCCATTTGACCTTGTTGACTATGCAGTATTACTTCTAAATGTGGCTCATTGAAGTTGCAGTAGTCAGGCTTAGGTGATTTGACGTGGGTTTCCTACTTAGGAGCTATTAGAGGGCAAATAGGAGCTATTAGAGGGCAAATACTCAAATGCACATTCATGGTGTGTAAGCACAATCGAATCCTTTAAGGCCAAGACACACCGCAGCGACAGCGACCGACCGTAACGACAAACGACTTTTCAGAAAATTAGAAACTATTGTTTCCTATGAGCCATTGCACACACACGCGACAATGACCGGCGACAACCTCGACGACAAAAATAATTAGGAATGTTTCTATTCTCCAGCGACAATCGCGAGCGACACTTTACAAATAGCCAATCGCAGCCGTTTCCATTGGCACGTGACATAACGATTACGTCATAAATGACCCATAATGCTATCCAAGACGTAGACTGGTCTCCGGCGCTAAACTCGCGCCGCATGTCACAAACAATGGGGCCGCGAACCAGTCTAACCAAAGCGTGCAAGCTGTGGCAAGCTAGACACAGTACGGAGTACGTACAGTACATGATAGTTTGCTGCGTATATTTTACTTTATTATCTTATTATTATACCTAGAGAGTTTTGTTCATGTGATGATGTGTACCACTGTGGCGAGTGCTGGGTGAACTTTGACCTAACGTCGGTCGCTGTCGCTGCAGTGTGTTTGCTCCAGTTGCCGCGACTTTGTCGTTTGTCGTTACGGTCGGTCGCTGTCGCTGCAGTGTGTCTTGGCCTTTACTCTTTGTTTTGTTTTTCTTTACCTCACAGACAGGCCTCTCGTCGCTTAATTCGAATATAGTTCCAAACTAAATTGTATAATTACAGTAAATCACTGGCATCAGGCCTCGAATTAAGCGACAAGAGGGGCAAGGCAATTTTTTCGGGGCATGTGAGAAATTGCCCTTGAATTTTTCTCTTTTAAAATGTGATGGGCACCGCAGCGCCAATTTAAAAGGGATATCAAGGCAAGCTCTCACAATTTGAGAACGGGCCCAACAAGGGCCCATTGTTATGAAAACTTTGTGTCATCGGTATTGATTCTACAGCTAAAATTTCTCTAAAATTTACTGCACCTCTAGCAAAGCTACACACCGTACCAGATCACTCGGCCATTCTTTGCGCGAGGCGTCGTTTCCCGCACTTTTAAATACGCACGCATGGGGCCCGAGTCCCGGGAGCCGCTGCAGCATTTAAATATTCGGTTGTTCTACCACGCGGCCTATACACAGGGCACTATTATCGATCGTCTACTGTACAGCGGTTCGGAGCAATACCACGTTAATGTTTTTGCCGCCGGGGAGACTGGTATCCGGCTCACGCTCTGCTAGAGAATGTACCACGCTCTGCGACAAAACAGCCGCGGGGTCCGCCCGAACCAGTCTGGCCAGAGAGACGGCACGACGGCAATTCACAGAAAAGGCAAGGCAGGTTCCCACTTGCCGCTCGTCGGTTACGATTTTCAGGGTCAGTACGGCGATTGATAGGGGCACCGCTGGCAATTGCCGTCGGTGCCGTCGGTTAATTCGAGCCCTGCTCACAGGCCTTACTATTAAGGACTCAATTTTGTAAAATTAATGAACAAAATATAGATGCTGCTGCAGTCTCGGGAAGAACAGCGTTAGTATTTTTCACTGTGCTTTAATTACATAACAAGTATACGTCAACATGTGTTTGCGCTAGCGTGCTTGTGGTTGGCATAAATCAGTAAGCGGCATCCAGGTGACTACCCGGGTAAATTGCTGTACAGGTTCATCGGCCGAGGCGTTAATGGTGTTGAAGAATGGACTTCAGGGGAGTTCTGCTGCCTACCAGCACCTGGAGCCCATAGAGTCTCACAAATTCCCAGGAACGAATTTCCTTATCTCAGAGGAAATTGCTATGGATACTGATGCTTTACAAGAAGATATTCAGGTTTTGCAATGTGTTTCATTTAACACAACTGATTAAGAAAATATAGTCGGATAAAAATTGATATCATGGAAAATTCTATATTGTTAAATCTATATCTAAAGTTATACATAGTAATATATGTAGTGTCAGATATTTCTTTAAAAGCTTGTGTTTGTTATTGTACTTTAGATGAGATTAGGGAACATTTCATGATAGCAGTGACGCAGTTTAGTGTATAAGTGTATATAGTTACTCGGAATAGATTGTGAATCCTTGTAAACAACCTCATAAAACTTTTATCGCTACGTGTCTGTTTAATGGTTTCATTTCTGCGATAAAGGTCAGTGACACGGGACAGCAGGGTGAGGCTGAGGAACTCCTATCTTCCGATCCTGAGACAGCTGGTTACTCAGACGAAGAAGCCGATGATCCTGAGATCACAGTGATAAAGGAGGAGGATGTAGAGGAGGAAGAGCAAGGGAAGCCAGAGCCAAGATACAATGTAATGATAAGCAAGCATTGCAAGCACATTGCTAACATATGTGACCCGCTCCAGCATAATACGGACTAAGTCGCAAGTCATTGTTTTGAGTAATGAGCACGCACACATGTCATCATCATCGTCATCTTCGTTTATAGTCCATCTTTTCCCGTGCCTGGGGTTGGACATGTGATGATCCTCCTCCACCGTTCTCTGTCCTGCGTTGATCATTCATCTCATTTAGTAGCTCACTGAAGTACTCCCTCCATCTGTCCATGATTTCCTTTTCTTCCACTTTTATATCTCCTCTGCTATCTTTTATATATTTTCCTCCTGTGACATCCTGTCTCTCCCTTTTCATCTGCTTTGCTATTCTGAATAGATCTGATTTCTGTTTTGATTTTCCTGAAATTTCCGTCCATTCTTCCCATACTGATCTTTTCGCAATTGCTACCTCTCCTTTTGCGTTCGTTTTCTTCTGCTTGTACACTTCTCTGTCAACTTCTTCTCCACTTCTTTACCATACCTTGTAAGCTTCTTTCTTTTCTCTTATTGCTTTTTGCACTGTTTCATTCCACCACCAAGTTTCTCTTCTATGTCTATAGTTCCCTGTTGTCTCCCCACATACTTCTCTACCAGCCTTCATGATACTATCTCTAAGTTTCTCCCATCCTCCTCTGCTACTCTCCATTCTCCTTCTCACATTCTCTCTAAAGTCTCTCCTGTGAGTTTCCTCCTTTAATTTCCATTGTTTTATCTTCTTTTCTCCTTTTTTCTTTTTAATTCTCTTGAATCCTGCTATCTTGAGATCACTACACATAAGCCTATGTTGTGTTAAACATGCTTCTTCCGGGATTACCTGACAGTCCTTTAATATAATCTTCTCATTTCTCCTTACCAAGATGTAGTCGATCTGTTTTTCTGCTCTTCCACTCTTGTATGTGATTTTCTTCTCCCTTTCCTTTTTGAACAAAGTATTAAGTATTATCATTTTTCTGCTCTGACAAAATTCTAATATGCTTTCCCCATCTGCATTCCGCTCCCCATATCCATATATTCCCATGACATCCTCAAAACCTCTCCTGTTCATCCCCACATGACCATTCAAGTCCCCACCAATTATCAACAAATCTTCTTCTGGTATTCTACCAATGGTGTCATCCAGTTTTCCCCAGAATTCTTCTTTTTCCTCTTGTGGTCTCCCATTCTGTGGTGCATAGACAGACAGAACTTGAAGTACTTTTCTTCCTATTACAATCTTTATTTTCAGTATCCTTGGTGTTATCCTTTCTACCTCCATTATATCCTGTACTAATTTCTCCCTCACCATTATCCCAACGCCACCTCTCTCGTCTTTTCTCTCCCCACACCACCAGAACTTATATCTTTCTCCACCCTCTCCATATATCCTACATCCTTCACTGTAATATTGAACTTCTTGTAGACAACAGACGTCCACCTTTCTTCTTGTTAACATCTCGACAACTTCCCTACTTCTTCCCACCATTGTACCAATATTTACTGTTCCCACTCTCATCTCCTCCTTGTTTTCGTTATGGCCAGGGATTCTTAGCGCCCCCTGCCCACTTAAGGGCTGCTGGGGACTGGGGGCCATTACTTGTTGAGCACGCACACATGTCAATGCTGAAAATGTCCTACCTGGACAAAAATGAGATTTTTACAAAAATAAGTTCCTAAAGCCCGCCGCACACGGTGAACTATCTGCTGAGCCAAAGGACTCAAGAGGCCGTTGGCTCA